CATAATAACAATATAAATTAAAAATATAATAATTTGTTGGAACAGCAAATTTGTCTTTATGTGATGGAAAGGGGCTTCTAAATACATTAGCAAAAACCTGATCTCTCTTCTGTCGATTTCAGCTAAAGAGCTCCTCTCCATCTGTTTCAGGTTAGTGGACATCATTCAGTAAACTGTCCCGTCGGGAAATATGTCGCTACGTCACACAGTGGAGTCTCTCTGATTGGTTGACGCGGCGCGTCGAGCTGTAAACTTTCAGATTTTCTAACTTCAGCGATTTGAGCATCAAGCACGTCAAACGCTCAAATTGTTCAAATCACGCTGCTCTAATCGCACTTGAGGCGCCGCAGCCCTTCCCGACGCTGATTGAAGCGCGTCCACCATAAACTTTGCATGTAAACCTGCTGCTCCTGATGCTSAAATCGTGTTTGGTGTGAACGCACCATTAATTTAATAAGTATAAAACAGGTGGTTGACTTTGAAAATGTTCCCTGTATTGTTTTCTCTTTTTAATTGTTAGCCTTGGTAACTAAGTGTTAGTTTCATTTTATTTACTGATCTGAATATTGGAGAATAATTTGGTAGGCTTGCATTAGACAAAATAGTTAAAGCACTAATTTTGTTTACTTCTGTTTCACTTTAAAAAAACTACATTTCTTTTTAGGTGTTTTGGAATCTTTGTTGCAGGTTTTCTTAGAAAATGTTTTGCTCATTTATCGATTAGTCCTTCATAATGTTTTCCAACAAGATCAAGTTAAATATTAATCTACTGTTTAATCATAAGTATTTTTTGTGAACGATGAAGCAGATGTACTGAATCAGTTGTATCAGTCTGTAGAGTTATCTCACTCTGTTTATGTGTGTGCTCTGTGTGTACAGTTAACATGACTCCCTGATCTGTTTTCAGTACTTGCCTCCATGTAGTGGAGCCCATGCCGGTTCCTGGCCATGATGTGGAAGCTTACTGTTTGCTGTGTGAGTGCAAGTATGAAGAGCGGAGCAGCACCACCATAAAGGTCCAACTAGCTTCCTTTGACTTTTTGGCTATTTGTTTCTTTCAGTCTTGAACCAAACTAACCATCAGCAGCAGGCCTAGTTTGTATTTCACAGGAGTTTTTCAAAACAACAGGATTTTAGTTCAGTTTATTTTCTAATTAAAATAAAATAAAGTTAGTAAAAAAGGCATTYGTTCATAACATTAAATCCCAGAATCCAGCTGGACATTTTTATGTTGAAAGTGAGATGTATAACGTCTTCTAACAGGTAACCATCATTATCTACCTATCCGTCGTGGGGGCACTGATTCTCTACATGCTGTTTCTGCTGCTGGTTGATCCTCTCATTCGCAAACACGACCCCTACACTCAGCCTCTGCACAACGAGGAAGACTCTGAGGTGATCACCCAAACAGACGGCACATTTAAGAGCTCTATCTATTGCTTGTAATAGCAATATAAAGCTCTGGATTGAAAATAAATCCAATTAATTTTATTTTTTATGCGTACAGGAGATGCGTCCGCGTGCCGAGAGCGGAGCAGCCAGAGGAAACACCGTTCTGGAGCGGGTGGAAGGTGCACAGCAGCGCTGGAAGAAGCAGGTGCAGGAACAGCGCAAGACTGTTTTTGACCGCCACAAGTTGTTGAGTTAAGCTTGTCTGAAGCAGGTTTGGTGGGTTTGATCTTTTCTGGGCTTCAGTGCTTTTACACTGTCACCAGCCACACCATTACAGACCTGGCTGTCACTGATGTGCATCAACGCCCCTGCTGCTTCCTCACGTTTAAAACATTTCAACACACTTCTCTCACAAACCAGTATCAAGTTTAAAATATTCAAATATGAGACAATTCTTGTGACATATTCTAAAGTTGCAACTGTGAAAAAAAGTGTGCTCTTTTATGAGTAAACATTTTCAAACAGTTTTAGGGAAGAGCAGTGCTGCAGCCTTAGAATGTCTTTTAAAATCAATGTTGGCTTGTAAATATGTTTTGCATGATTCATAATGTTAGCTCAAAAGAGAGTACACTGATCAGCTTGCTTATGTTGTCAGCCATTCCTTAATTATTGGTTTAGCTGTAATCATTTGTTGCTGTATAAACTCAGGCATATTCAAATTTTGCACTAAATATCATTTATTTTRAAATTATTCATTTAAACTTTTTGTTATCACTACCTTTGTACTTCAAACTGTGCCTTTTTGCGAGAAAATGTATTTCACCAAACTAAAGTTAAAATGCATGAAGCCAAGAAATTAGATTTTTTTTTTTTTTTTTTAATTCGGATGCTTGTATTCATATAAAAAATGTCCATTTAAAATTTACTTAGCAAAGAGGTTTGTTTATTTGTTGACTATTGGGCCACATTTCTGTTTTTTATTTTGCTCTTAAAATTGAAGCACTTTACATATGAAGAGAACCATCTTGATTTGTGTCAAATTTCTGCTGCAGGAAAATGAAATCTGTCACAAACCTGACAGCCTGGTTTCATGTGTCAKAATCAAAGTGCTTCAATGATATCAAATGTTCTTATGAACCAAAGCCATCGGTCTGGGGATCATTTTTCTGTCAGAGAAACAGTGACTCGTTGCTTCATGCAGTGTGATCTGGTTGTGTTGACTGTAATTATTTTATTTAATATTTATGTTTGATTGTTAAGTTGTTTGAAAGAATCACAAAACCGTTGTGATGTTTATTAGATGGTTGCAGGATAAGCTGCAGAAAATTTCATGTACAGTTTGACCTCTAAAGTAAGAAAAATCTGTAGTTTGTTTTTAATGATATCAAATGTTCTTATGAACCAAAGCCATCGGTCTGGGGATCATTTTTCTGTCAGAGAAACAGTGACTCGTTGCTTCATGCAGTGTGATCTGGTTGTGTTGACTGTAATTATTTTATTTAATATTTATGTTTGATTGTTAAGTTGTTTGAAAGAATCACAAAACCGTTGTGGTGTTTATTAGATGGTTGCAGGATAAGCTGCAGAAAATTTCATGTACAGTTTGACCTCTAAAGTAAGAAAAATCTGTAGTTTGTTTTTAATGAGTTTTGTAGAAATTTTTCAGCAGCGTTTGAATCACTTGATCAGTAATCTCGCTTTAGCTTCTTGTCATCAAATKTCACTTTTACACCTACAGAAAATAAGGTAGTGCTATGATAGAAAGCAGTACTCTATCATTATACCACATTAACGACACGTTCTGCAATATTATATGAAACCATGTCACACCCTCCCTCCACCAGAGCTACTTTGAAGCTGTTCTGGTCCAACACTTTGCCCATGTCGTTTTCTTTCCCTTTTATTAGCCTCAATGTTTGGCTGTGTTTAAATGTTTTAGCTTGAAGTGAAATAAATTTGAAAAGTTTAAAATGTTTTGGAATTTCGTTTTATTATTTTTTCACTGTAGGACCGTTTATTGACACTGGGGGGCGACAGAGTACACAATAAAGAAGAATAAATGTTGGGGTTTGAGAAGCTCCATCTCTATTACTGATACTATATTACTGTAGTTTCATATTAAAAATAATGTTCAACTTTTTGGAAAACTTTAAGCAGAGACCTCTAATATGTTTTTAAAAAGAAAACAATTTTATTGCACTTTATATATTTTTAACAATATATAAACGGACTAATTGAGCTGCAGCTTTAAGATATTTTCTTTGCAGTTATTTTTTTACAAAGATAACTTTGTTTTAGTGTATCAAATGTATTGTCATGTATTTCTTTTTTCATTACAAGTTGATACCAGTCTTATTTTCCTACAATTGGACAATAACTGAAAAAACTCAATGGAAACTAAATCATTATGTACATTGAAACAGAAGGTTAAAAACAAAACAATTGGACTTTTATTCTGAAATTGAAGACATTTTTCTGTCTCATTATGACCCGGATGACTGAAAATCTTCACCAGCACATTACACACAGATGTTTTTAGCATGAATAATTCACAGTGGAAAAAGTTTTGTTTAAACTGAAAAATTTAGGATGGATTGTTGGATACTTTATTGATCCTTTGCAGGAAATTACAGATAAGTAAATGTGCAATATAAGTATATGTTTAAATAAGAAATGAGTAAGTGATCACTTAAATCTTTCACTTTGTGCTTCGACAAGAAGTTATTCCACATCCAGATGAATGGGACTCTGTTTTTGTTTACTTTTTGGGGTTCAGCTTTAGCGTCCTGAAGTGTTTTTCTTGCTGTAGGACCCTCTCAAAGAYGACACCGCTCCCCTTCTTTTTCTCTTTGCTGCCCCTCCTTCCACTCTGCCCTCTAAACCAGCCCCAAGCATGGCCTGCCAATGGGTCGCAATCTAAAATTAAACTGCTCTGGGGCCAACTGCTTTTCTCTTCCAGCCACTCTGTTATTTCTCTCTGCTGGGGTGATCTTTCCCCTGTCAGAGGCCCTCAGCTGGGGGGAGAGGTCTGTGGCTCTGAGAGGGGGAGACCAAGAAGAGGGGAGAGAAGAGAAGGGGGCAGCGGGGGAACCCGCACTGATCTGGAGCCCTACAGGCCTTCACGGAGGTGGAGCTATTCTGCAGCAGAGTTTGGGATTTTACATCAAGAGGTCACGGTTTTTTTTTTTCTGGAATTGTAAGATTGTGTGAAGTGAAAGCATCGGGATGGCGGCTAACGCAGAGGGGACTAAGTCATTCATCATGAATGAGGAGGAACTGAAGAGGAAGCAGAGGGAGAAGCTGAAGAAGCTGCAGGCCACAGGGGGCAACCCTCGCCCTGCCAGATCCCTCTTTTTCTTCACCCTGAAAAATCCATTCCGCAAAGCCTGCATCAACATTGTGGAGTGGAAGTATCCTTTATAGCTTGTGCGRACTTCATACACACCACTCATTCTGGTGTAGATAACAATTTCACAAGTTKAAACCGTTATATCATCTAGTGCTCTGGTTAAGAACAAAGGGTCACTCATAAATCATGATGCTTTATTGTGATGAGCATCATGAAATCTTTCAAATCTGAGAAAAGCCACCACTGAAGTGCCAGAAAATTCCAATTGGATGAAATAATACTAATCTGTTAACATCTGGCTGACAGAAACAGTAAATTAATTGCCTCTATGTTCTCCTGAATAGCTCATTTTTCTCTCTGTGGAAACCTAAACACTAAAAATCYATATATTCTGGAAATAAATGAAGAAACCAGTGCTCAAACATTTATTAATTTAAATAGACTTATAGAAAAGCAAACATGTAACAGCTTAACCAGGCATTTTTCCCCCTGATGAGTAGGCCGTGTTTAAATGGTTTGTCATATTCTTGGGCCGTGCAGCTGTCGCACAACATCACACAGAGACATGATGCTGACCTGGCAGGGGAATTTTCTTGGAGAGCCCCCTATGGATGAGAATGAGGCAGCGCAGCAGACAGGATTACACGRTTGGAACTGCTTCAAGGATGATGTTTCAGGCTGGGTTTAAAGCCGGTGGTCAGTGCTGCTGGCACGTATGATGTATTTTTTTAAAAATGAACAGAAATCTTTAGTCATTCATCACTATCCAAATGTATTCTCCACTGTTATAAACTGTCTGCTTCATAAATGCTATGATCCTTAATTTTCCCATCCAGAACATTTGAAATCATCATCTTAYTGACCATCTTTGCCAACTGTATTGCTTTGGCTGTGTTTCTGCCAATGCCTGAAGAAGACAGCAATAACACCAACGCAAGTTTGGTATGTTGATCATAAGCCACCTCACTGACGCTCAACACAGCTAAAAGCAATAAGTCGATGTCKTTCCACTTTGAAGCATTATTCAAATTAATAATGGTCATATCAGTTTCCTAGAGAGTTCAAGCTTTAAGGTTTGATATTTAATGACTGCAGGCTTTCAGCTGCCCCGAGTGCCAAGCTCCATTTAAATCTCTCTAAATACAACTCAGTTCTTTATTTGGCRTCCCATCTGTGTCTGCGGGGGAACAGTCATCAAACAGATGTATGGAAAAATCCACTGCATTAGTATGCAGTTACAGGAAATTATAAATATAGATGTTTCTTTACAATTCTGCTAGAAAATATTAGCACAGCTGTTAGCTGCCAGGGCAGTTGTGATTAACAGTCTCTGATTGTTTAGAGGTGTAAACAAGTGAGTCTGCCGATGTGTGTCCAAAACTGTTGTATTTTCAAGCATTAGTGTGTGTGTTTTTAGTGCAGAGGTTGTGAGTGATGGGTCAGAAAGTACACACTTACAGGGTGATCAAGGGTGTACCATGTCAAATAATCTTTGTTAGTCTTTTTTAACATAATTACCAAGAGAGATTGACTGTAAACAATACCACTTAGATACATGTGTCTACAGTTGTTATTGTTCACATGGCCTGGATTAAATAGTTTTTTTTCTTGGCATAAAAGAGGCTTATTATGGTTTCATTTTTCAAAGTGACTGAGAATAAAGAGTCGTGTCAGCGCACCAGTAMGGCTATTATTGGAGAAAAAAATTAAAGATCCTGAAATCTCTTTTTACCATCATGCAAAATTCACTTTTGTAAGCATTAAATGCGTTTCGCTGGGGTCTAGGGGTGCAGAAAAAATTTATTTAGTCCCTCTCGATTCTGCAAAGATATCTTTATATTCTGTTTGGTTCTGTTTTAATGAATTTGTAGATAAAACCTTTCTGTGCTGTTAAATAGACATTACCCCCTTGATCAAACTAGAGTTAACTGCTCTGGAAGCTGGAGGGGGTGGGGTGTGAAGCGCCTTGTTTGGATTTAAAGGAACAGCATCAAACTGGGTTGATCTGAGACACACCTCAGAAAAGKGSGGAAAGATATCTCAGTTAGTGCTTCTAGATTTAGCCTATAAATTTAGCAAGTGCTAATCCACTAATAAWTTTTAAAATTAGCAAAAGCCCTAAAGCACTAATCAGGAAATTAGTTCCCCTGTTAGTGCTTTAGTGCATTAGGGGAACTGTGCCCACCGCTGCAACTAAGTATCAATGAAGAATATGCATCTGTTGCATTTTGTGTCTGTACATTTGCTTATTCTATTTTATAGATTTTTGTGAAGTTACTTATTCTTGACCAGTTCTGCAAGTTTGAGTTTTGCAGCTTACTTTTCAGCACATTTTGTTCAGTAAAACTATAGAATTAAAGCAAAAGGTACAGATTAAGCATGCTAGCTATCACTTAGCAGCTGTRCTGTTAACCAAGTCAGCATTTATGTATATCATTCTTTTTTCATATACATTAGCTTTACTAGTACTCCCATAGTAAACAGCTTTGTTTTGACTCAGTCTTCACTTCCTTACCAAAACATTCAGACTTCCATTCTTCAGTGGTGAAAAATGTAAGAAGAGAAGCTTCCTCGTGTTTCTTTTAGAAGTAGGTCAGCCAAGATAGAGTTTACAAATCTTTTCTAACGTTACTCMACTCATATGCTTAAAAAATAACAAAGGATGGTTGTGAAATGGACTGAAACAGACATGAAACTGGCCATGATGTCCTTATGGACATTTTGTAACAGATGATGAATATCTTACACTGGTACTTCAATGAATAATTTATAAATTCTTGGATTTGGTTTAAACTCATCTTATTGTATACAGAACTCACAGGACATTCCTGTAGGTGCTTCTCAAATTTAGCAAGTTTTCAGTTTCTTATATTACAAACTTTTAGTATTTATTGAGCTCTAAATATTGGAAGGGTGACCTTTTTAATTTGTTCATATTTCAGGAAAGCCTGGAGTACATTTTCCTGATCATCTTCACATTAGAGTGCTTTTTGAAGATCATAGCGTATGGCTTGGTGTTCCATGAAGGGGCCTATTTACGGAACTGTTGGAACATATTGGACTTTGTCATCGTTTTCATGGGGTAAGATGAGCTCCATGCTGCAGCTGGATACCTCTTCTGCCAAACCACCCAGCTCTCTTTGCCACAGCAGTTTGTACAAGTTAAAAGTGGAATGTGGAAATGTTGGATAGATTTTTTTTTCTGAAAGTCAACTTTATGTTGCTTGAATTGTTTAAAGGTGAAAGTTTGGCTATGTTTAAATGTTAAAGTTTTTTTTTCCTTTGCAGTCTCTTCACCTTTGCTTTGGATACCATAAATATGATAGCAGGAGTGCCGACGGAGAAGGGTGGGGGGTTTGACATGAAGGCCCTGAGAGCCTTCAGAGTACTGCGGCCCCTTCGCCTCGTTTCTGGAGTTCCCAGTAAGAACCTGTGGTTAAACCCACGCAGACTGACCCCAGATCTGTATAAAACCCTTTGATTCATCAGTGTGGTTTGATAAAACTGCTGTCTCTCAGGCCTGCAGGTAGTGATGAACTCCATCCTCAAAGCCATGCTGCCTCTGCTGCATATTGCCCTGTTGGTCTTCTTACTGGTCACGATCTATGCTATTATGGGACTGGAACTCTTTAAGTGCAAAATGCACAAGACCTGCTACTACGCTGGCACAAGTATTTATTAAAAGACACAATTAAACATAATTACACTTCAATTCTCATGTTAAGTTGCTTAATAAATGTGTGTATTTTTCTATCCACAGATATCTATGCAATAGCAGAAGGTGAGCTACCAGCTCCATGTGCTCAGGCTGGGAATGGACGCCGCTGTATGATCAATGGCTCAGAGTGTCGGCCTAACTGGGAAGGCCCCAACAACGGGATCACTCACTTTGATAACATCGGCTTTGCCATGCTGACGGTGTACCAGTGTATCACCATGGAGGGGTGGACTAAAGTGCTCTACTGGGTCAGTGATTTGATGATCTTTGCTGCAACATTCTTGCATCTGTCACATTATTTAGACAGCAGTTTTATTTTTTTGTTTTTGTTTTTTTTTTTTTGTCTGATGAGGTCTTTGGTTATCTCCCAGGTTAACGATGCTATAGGAAATGAGTGGCCGTGGCTCTATTTTGTTCCTCTCATCCTGCTGGGCTCCTTCTTTGTGCTCAATCTGGTTCTGGGTGTGCTCAGTGGGTAAGACGGCAAACATATTCTCTATTGCAAATGTTTGCTTCTTCAGATAAAAAGAAAAATAGGAGAATATTCATAGTTTTTGCCTGGGGGGGTTGGTTCCACACAGGGAGTTTACCAAAGAGCGAGAGAAGGCCAGGTCACGAGGAGAGTTCCAGAAGTTGCGAGAGCGTCAGCAGCTCGATGAAGACCTCCATGGCTACATGGAATGGATCACTCACGCTGAAGTCCTGGATGCTGACAGAGAGGGCAAAGGTCAGCTCTCTACACCACCTCTGTACAGATGTTAAATATAGACTATAAATTATATGTCTCCTTATTTTGACAGGTCTTCTGCCTCTGACCAGTGGAGATTCTGACACAGACAGTCTGTATGATCTGGAAGGCAAAAGTCGTATCATCTACTACTAGTAAGTCTCGTTCTGTAAATGTGATGAAATGAAATGGTTACCTGGAACCGTGAGCAAGAGTTGTTTTTATTCATGTGTGTGTGTGTGTGTGTGTGTGTGTGTGTGTGTGTGTGT